TATGATAAACTTATTTTAATTATTATATTAGTCATTTACTAAAAAATTATTATTTAGTGATTTTTGGTATTTTTATGGAATGTTTAAATGCACTAAATAAGGGGTCCATTTCTTGACTTTTAAGTTTACTTTATGTTATGGAGTTTTTATATTTTTAATAAATATTAGACCATAGGATAAGTAAAATTCCACTAATTTTACTAGATTTAGAATTTTTTATAATTAGTTATAAATTTTCAAATTTTGGGGTGTTCTTAAACTAAGGTTGACCAAAATATTCACTTTATTACAACAACAAGAACATCAAGCCTTTGTCCCTCTATGTGGGGTCAGCTACATGAATTCTTTTTTGCCATGTGTCTGATTAAATGTTAAATTCTCATTTAAATCTAATAAAGAAATATCATTTCTAATATTTTATAACCAAGTATTTTTAGGTCTACCTCAACCTTTCTTAGCATAAGTCAAATCTAATACCTCAACTTTCCTAGCTGGGTCATCAAAAGGCCTCTGTTTAATGTGACCAAACCATCTAAGGTGACTCTCTCTAATCTTATCTTCCATTAGAGCTAATCAAACCATTTATGTATATGCTCATTTCGTATCCTATCTCTAAGGGTCAAGCCACTCATCCATCTTGAAAGTGCTCTGATACCTCTTGAAAGTTCATTAGGGATTTTAAGCCCTTATGAACTAGTCCCAACACTAACCAAGAGGGGGGTGAATTGGTATTTAAACAATTTCTCCAAACAATATCACAAACACAACAAAACAATCACCACATAAATTAAAGTGCGGAAATTAAATACAAAAAAATAATAAGAAAGAACACACCAGATTTTATAGTGGTTCGGTCAACTTGACCTATGTCCACTCCCCAGAGCCTCTCCTCTGGGTATTGTACTAAACTCAGTGTCTCTCCTTTTTCAACCACAGCAAAGTGGAGAAGCGCGTATAAAAACTCCTTTCCACTGACCCCGATGAGGCAAAGAGCCCAACTCCTTTTACTTCCTCCTTTGGTAGGCAGAGAACCCAACTCCTTTTGCTTCATCTTGAAGCAAGCAGAGAACTGAACTTCTTTTTCTTACTCCTAAAGTTGGCAGAGAACCCAACTCCTTTTGCTTCCTCCTGAAGCAGGTAGAGAACCTTGTTCAGTTACTGAAGTAGATCTCTCTTGAACCTCCAAGGAACCAAGGATGATGACCGGAGAAGACGACTCAGATCCTTACTTGGAGCAACCTTTGTGAAACCCCTTATAAACTCCCCCTCATAAGATCCTCTCTCTCTCTCCCTTGCTCTCTCTCTCCTCTTGGCTCACTCAGGTCAGGACAGCAGCAAAAGATATCCTCTTGAGAAATTAAGAGATCTTTTAAAAAAGGGCTCCAAATTTTCCCTAATTTATAACTAATCATCAAATATCATCTAGGACGATCGACCGATCATCTCATACGATCAGTTCAAATTTAGCTCAATTAGCTAGGACGATTTGGGAGAGTTTGGACGATTAGAAGGTTCATTTGTTTAGTTCGTCCAAGATGGTAATATATCATCCTATACGATTAGTTCAATCCGTCGAATATTGTCCAAACCATTGCTCTGGATGGATGTCTGGATGATGAAAAAGTAACTTAATCATCCAGGATGATCTCAAGATAGTCTAAGCTGATTAATAGTAAAAGGCGTATATCGTCTAGAGCATTGCCCTGGATGGATGTCTGGATGATGAAAATTAACTAGATCGTCCAGGACGATCTCACAATCTTTCAGGACAATTAGTACAAAATATCACATATCGGTTAGAACATCACCCTAGATCGAGCCAGGCTGATTTTGGATCGTCCAGGAAGAACTAAGGTTTGTTATCTGATCATCTTGGACGATCCTGTGATCTTCCAGAATGATATGATTGAGCAATCAAATTTTAATTTAATTTCCTTAATAATCAATTTAATTTAGGCATAATTGTAGTGCATCATCCAGGACGATGTCTAAAAATAAAACATGCCTAAAAGGTTGTGATGGCTGATTCTTTCTAATTTGATCCTATCATCCTGGACGATGCTAATATCGTCTAGGATGATTTGCTTAATTTATGTTGCCTTACTTAGGATGCCCTAATTAGGGTTTCTATTTTTAACTAATCATCCAGGACAATTTTGGATTGTCCCGGACAATATGATCGAAAACAAAAAACTTTAAAACTGTCAGAATTTTTCCCCCAAGTTTGTGTATACATTGTTACTTAACATTAGGACCCACATTGTTACAATGGACTCAATAAAAGGTAAAATACACTTGACATACATTACAAGCTGACTCAATCCTAATCTATCCAATCTTGAGTTGGTTCAATTTGTAATTTGATATTGTGGACCTGAAATGTTAGTAGCAAGGCAGTCATAGAAAAATACAAATGTTTGATATCATCAAAATTATATTCTATGAAATCAGATTTGCAACACACCTAAGCATCCTCATCACTACAACACTTAACTTAGTATTATACTTCTCTTTTAATGGCCAACATTCGGCACCATAATTTTTCCTATCCTCGAGAGAAAGACCAATTTTCTAGAGAGAGGAAGATCCATTTTCTAGAGAGAAAGTTTCAAAATTTTGAACCCCTGTTGGATTGGTGAATTTGTCGGAGGTGATGATTGGCCAAGCGACTACCATCTCAGATGGTTGGACTATAGTTGATCTTAATTATGGTCAAGCAATACCGCAGTAAGAATCTTCTAATGCAGATTATGGTAGTAATCCAAAATTCCATTTCAATGGTCCATTGGTGATCAGAGAACCTGGTGTGGATTGGATAAAAGTTTCATGTCTAATCACTGGTAAAGTAAAGCAAATGGTAACGGATACAAATATCAAAACACCTTCATCAATTCTGAAGTTTAAATGAAATGAAGTTGAATCTTCATCATCTGGAATGAAGATTTTTGTTAACAAGTTTGGGAATAAGGAAAATGTATCAAAGGGAGACCCTTTAGTCTAGAATATGGATGCAAGCACATTGGATGTTCGTGAGAATGTGCAAAAGACATTTGAAGGTTTGAAATTAGTCCCAGTTGAAACTGGACATAATCCATGTCCTTATATCATGGTGGGATATGCCAAAAGGAGAATCAATCTTATCTGAAGATGGCAAGGCAATCAAGTTGTTGAACCAAAGATGATTGATAATTCTGAGAAACTCCATAAATCAATAGTGGTGAAAGTTTTTGGTATAGCAATTCCAGTGCAAGCAATAGCTACAGAATTGAGATGCTAATGGTCTTAATTTGAGAAATTCCATTTGACTATCCTTGGCTCTGGGTGGATGATGTGTTCTTTCTTCTCACAAAAGTCTATGGAAAAGGTTATTTCATGAGGGCCATGGTTTGTAAATGGACATATTATTGGGCTAGACAAATGCAATGCTAAATTTTCAACAACATCTCTGAAGGGTCTAACTTCACCCTTATGGGTAAGATTGTCAAATCTTCCACTCTATTATTGGGATGAAATTAATGTTGCCAGGATTGCATCATTGATTGGTTCCCCTATGTTAATTGATGGTGATATGTTCCAATGGGGAAGAAGAGAGTTTGGAAGAGTATGTATTCATTTGGAACAAGACAAACAATTGCCCATTGGTGTTTGGGTGGATGGGCTTGATGGACGGTTCTTACAAAAAGTTGAGTATGAAAAAATCTCAACCTTTTGTTACAAGTGTGGATGAATAGGTCATCTCAGCAATGGTTGTAATGAAAAGGAAAGTTTTATTAATAATTATTCTGATCCAGTTACTAAAGAAAGAAGTGTAGGATTACCAAGGTTGAGTGATCCTATTGAAGATTCAAAATATGGGCTATGGATTCATGTTAATAATAAAAGTGGTAGGAGGGTGAATGTGCCTTATCAAAAGAAGAAGATAGAGGTGAATAAAGGGCTGAAAGAGGGATGGTTTACTAAAAAAATGCAGACATAAGAGAAATCCTTTTCATTATTACAAATGATAGAAGAAAGTTTAGAAGCTGCAGGAAATGCAATTACTGAAGCTGGGAATCTAAAGATTAAAGATAATGCTATTGGGGAGCATGAAGATCTTGCAAGGAGTTCTATTATTAGAATGGTAAAGAATGCTTCTTCAAATACTGAGGTGTTTCCAGTCCAAGAGAACATGTTTAAAATGCTGGAATTAGAGATCGAAGATAGCAGTTCAGTTGAGAAAACTGTAGTGCCAGTCCTGGCTGAACCATTGCTAGAAGAAGGAGAAATTGGTAAAGATGGAGTTAGTAGTGAAGGGATTGTGGCTCCTTCAAACATTCATAGAAAGATTGAAGAATTTCCCAAATACATGGGAAATATGTGCTTGGAAAAAGCTAATTCTGGATCACAAAAACCGAAACTCTTGAAGGAACTCGAGCACCTTGGGCCCTTGAGCAATTCTTCCAAGAAAAACGCTAAGGTATTAATTAAAGGGAAGGGTGGGGCCCTCCCGCCTCCTTTTCCAAATGACTTCATTAGATTTTTGGAATTTTAGGGGGGCTAATAAGAGGGAGGCCTCTCTTTATTTGAAAGATTTTGTGAAAGATTGGGATTTTTTTTTTTTTGTCGTAGAAACTAAAATCTCTTCTTTTGAGAGATTTGAGATTAATAAGTTGTTGGGCGAAGACTAGGTTTTTTTGTTATATCCCTCTTATGGTGCTTCAGAAGGAATTAAAGTTTTGTGGAAAGCTAATTTGGCAAATTTCTCTCTAGTGGAAGCTTCTCCCCAATGTATTATTGGGAATCTTAATATCTTCAACAAAGGAACTTTGATGGTCTCGATGGTGTATGGCAACAAAAACTTACACATGAGGAGGAGGTTGTGGGAACAATTAGAATTTTATGGTGATAAGGAAATCCCTCTAGTAGTGGGAGGAGATTTTAATTGCTTATTAGCCCAAGAAGAAAAGAGGGTGGGAAGAAATTCTCATTTTTCACAAGGACCACAACAGATGAAAGCGTTCATGTCAAGGATGGATCTTCATGATGTTGGCTTGGTAGGGCCAAAATTTACATGGTGCAATAATAAAATAGGGAATGCTCTTATTCTGGAAAGGCTTGATAGATATCTCTTGAACTCTAAAGCCTTGAATGAGGTACACAATGCTGCGGTTAGACATTTGGAAAGGATTGCATCTGATCATTGCCCTTTGATTCTCAGAATTTTCAATGAAAAATTACATCAAAGAAGATTTCTTCGATATGAAGAGGTTTGGGCTTCATTCCTGGCTTCTAAAGAAATTGTTCTAAAGAATTGGAGCAAAACGATTAAAGGTGATGCAATGAATGTTATTAATGTTAAGTGCAAAAGGGTTTTGAGAGCCCTACATTACTGGAGCAAAGCAAAGCTTAAGAATTACATGGAACTTAAAGAATCATTGAAGAAGGAGATCTCAAATCTTCAGCTTGAAGAATCGAATGGCCAAGGACTATCCAGTGAAAAGCTGATGTTGTTAAGATCCAAAACTCATGAATTCAATGTGATAATGGCAAGAGTAAACACATGGTGGAGACAAAGAGCTAAGGTGAGGAGGATTCAGGAGAATTACATGAATTCAAAATTTTTTCACTCCTTTGCTAATGGAAGAAGAATGGATAATGCAATTCGCCAACTGAGAAATGTGGATGGGGTATTGGTAGAGGAGCAAGCTGAAATTGAAGAAGTTATGATGAATTTCTTCAAGGAAAAATGGAAGAAAAGAAACTGCTGCTTGGATGCATGACCGCCAAGTTTGAACTTTTTATTTGAAACAAATTACATGCGTCTTCAGGCTGAATTCACTTTCCCAAAACTGGAATTGGTAATAAAAAATAGTGGTACTAATGTATCTCATGGATTAGATGGCATTACCTATTCGTTTTTTTTTTTAATATTGGAGCATAATAGGTAATGAAGTTTGGCTTGCAGTGCAGCAATTTCTTCAGATAGGGAAGCTAGGTTTGAAATGTAAAGAATTGCTAGTGGTTCTTATTCCTAAAGTACTGAATCCGGCTACTCCTGCAAACTTTCGTCCAATCAATCTTTGTGGTTCCTTATACAAAATTATTGCCAAAACGTTGATGAACAGGCTCTTGAAGTTTGTTAACGGGCTTATTTCAGAAGTTCAAATAGCTTTTATTAGATGTAGATCTCTATTTACACATGTTTTGTTAGCTCATAAACTTTTTAACAAACTAAGATTTTCAAAATCAAGGAAAGGTTTGGTGCCTATCAAGCTAGATATGGAGCAAGCCTATGATAGTATGGCTTGGGAAACATTAAAATTGGTATTGGATCGTTTTGGATTTCCAATTAAATTTACTAATATCCTTATGGAATGCGTGGAAAATCCAAAGTTTTTTATCATGATCAATGGTAAAATTTCTGAGGGGATCAAAGCAAAAAAGCGAGTTTAGACAGGGTTTCCCTCTCTCTCCTTATTTGTTTATACTTTGCTCTCAAATTTTGACAAATGATTTGTCTCATAGAGGAAGCAACTTGGGAATAAAAATCTCTGCAATTGCTCCTAAAATCTCACACTTATTGTATGTAGATGATATCCTCTTATTCTCTAAAGCAAAGATGAAATGTATGAAGAAATTCAAAAGAATTATAGCAGCTTTTAGTAGCCGAACTGGACAATGTGCTAATGAGCAAAATTCTGTTATTCTGTTTGGCAAGTCAATGAAAAGGAGAAGAAGGAACGCAATTTCAAAGCTTTGGGGCTACAAAAAAATCAATGATTTCAATTATCTCAGGATTAGGATGGCTCTGAGAAGATTGGTGGCATCAAATTTCAACTCTATCTTCGAGAAAGCTGCTAATAAACTTAATATTTGGGTTAAGCAAATGATTTCTATAGCTGGTAGATTAGTGCTGGTTAAATCGGTATTGGTTTCATTACATGTATTCCTGGCTGCTCACTCATTGATTCCAATGAGTATTTTAAAAGAGCTGGACAAGGCTTGTAGAAGCTTTATTTGGGATAAACAAGGAGGAATCCACAGTTTACACTATATGGCTTGGGATAATTTATGCAAGAACTAGAAGGAAGGAGTCCAAGGAGTGCATTCGGTGGTGTCTATTGTTGGTCCTCTAAGGGAAAAATTTGCCTGGATCTTGTTTAATAAAGAAGATTTGTTGCTGAACATGGCTTTAATGGAAAAATATGGAGCTAATTTTTGGGAAGATTCCAGTAAAATCAATAGATCTACAACTTGGAAGATTTTATCAGTGGAGCTCAATTCCTGCATCCAATTACAAAATGGAAGATTTCTTCAGGTAAATCTATAACATTATGAAAGATGTATGTATTCTAGATAAAAGGTTAGATAGATGGCCAACATTTATAGCAGTGGGAAACTTTAATTTTCCTCCACTTGAGTCCTTTATAATTGATGGTGTGTGGAACAAGGAACTTCTTCAAAATTTCTTTGGAGAGAAACTTGTGGAGGTTATTCTTTAAATCCAAATTTATCCTAATCTAAGAGAGGATTCCTTAGAATTGAGGCAAAAAATTTGGGTAAAAGTATCACGGCTTTGGCTTCTTATTCTAATGATAAGGAGCTCATGGAGGTGGATTATGGCAGATGGTTAAGAAAGCTTCATCTGAATTCTAGAGTGGAATGCTTCTGGTGGAGGCTTTTCAATAACGCAATCCCTACTAATGGCTTTTTGATTTACCGAAGGGTGTTGGGGCATGATTTATGTCCTAGAGGATGTAATCGAGAGGAAAGTTCTAAACATGTAATGGTGCATTGCTTGAAGCTACATCAAGTTATATAATTGTTAAAAAGTTGGGATTTTTCGGTTCTAACTTTTTCCTCAATCAGAAAATGCAAATTCAAATTTGAACAGCTAGCTATGGATAATCGTTTCATTGCAAAGATATATTGCTCAATATTTTATTTGTCTTGGAAAATTAGAAATTTTGTCAATCATGGTAAACAAGAAATGAGTTTAAACTATATAGATTCTAATGATATTAGTTATGCATCAAATTCCAGCATTAATCTGTTCGTGGACCACTAGGGTTCTAACCAGTTGGATCAGCTGATTTCTCATTGGCATCCTCCACCCCCGGGATGGATTAAGGTAAACATTGATGCTTCTTTAATAAGGTCTAACAATGGTGGGATCGGTAGAACTTTTAGAGATTCAAAAGGGAGATTCTTGTTAGCTTTTGGAATCACTTGCATTCATCGGGATATTGGTTTATTGGAGTTGATTGCCTTTCATTTATTGAAGAAAATCATTATGGAGTGGATGTTGGATACAAAAGGGATTATTATTTAAGGTGATAATCTAAATATCATCAATTATTTGCAAAAATCGATGGAGGAAGGTAATCGAAATGGTCAAAATGAAGAAATTGAAGATCTTTTGTTCTTGGATGGATTTGGTAAAGTTCTATTTCATTTTGCAAATAGAAATTATAATAAATTAGCTAATTTTTTTGCTAACAAAGCTTTAGAGGGTGATTTTTTTTTGGGAAGAGTTGAGTAGCAATAAGGTTCCTCCTTTGTTTCTCAAATTGTTAAAGGAGGATTGTGATAGGCTTTCTATCACATTGTAATAACTTCTTTCTTTACTAATGCAATTAGAATTTTTATCAAAAAAAAAAAAACATTCGGCACCATAAAGCATTGCAGGTCTCACCACCATCTTATAGAATTTTCCATTAAGTTTGAGGGGGACTTTTCTATCACACAATAAGCTTGATACATTCCTCCACTTCAACCATCAAACTTGAATTCTGTTGATAATATTCCCATCAATTTCACCATCACTATGAATAATAGATCCTAGATATCTAAAATGTGTACTCTTATTAATGACTTGATCACCCAAAGTCACAATCCCCTCACTAGGTCTTTTGCTAATAAAATTATACTCTAAATATTTTGTTTTAGATCTACTCATAGGAAAACATTTAGACTTTAAAGTTGACCTTCATAATTCAAATTTACCTTCAACCCCCTCTCTAGTCTTATCAACAAGAAGAATATCATCAACAAAAAGTATACACCAAGGTACATCCTCTTGTAAATGTCTAGTGAGAACATCCTTGACTAAAGCAAAAGGATATGGACTTAAGGTTGATCCTTGATGTAATCCAAGGAAATAGAAAAATACTTGGTCAAACCACCTTGTTTTTGAACACAAGTAATAGCTCATGCTTACATATCTTTAATTATTTGAATATAAGTATTATTAACTCCTTTCTTTTCAAGAACTCTCAATAGCAGTTCTCTTGGAACTTTATCATATGATTTCTTTAAATCAATAAATATCATATGTAGATCCTCCTTATTCACTCTATATTTCTCCATCAAACCCCTCAATAAATGAATGGCTTCTATAGTAAACCTACCCATCATGAATCCAAATTGATTTTAGAAACATTAGTATCACGCCACAACCAACGCTCCATAACTCGCTCCCATAGTTTTAAAGTATGACACATTAACTTAATTTCCCTATAATTCGCACACTCCGTGCAACACCTTTATTCTTAAAAATAGGAATTAACACACTCATGCATTCTCCACTGATCTTGCTTCTTTTTAGTCTTCAAAATAGTATTAAAAAGTTTAGTAAGCCAAGAAATTTCTTCATCTCCTAAGCATTTCCACATCTCTATTGGAATATCATTTGATCCAACAACTTTTCCACACTTCATTTTCTTTAAAGCCTCTCTAACTTCGGTTTTACTTATACGCTAATAAAAAATATATATTTATTTTCATTTAGGGTAATAAAGTCACTAAAGTCAATCGTATTTTCACATTCTTCATTAAAACGTCTAGCAAAATATTTCAGCCATCTTTGTTGAATATCATCTTCTAAGAAAAGTATTTTTTGATCTTCATCCTTAATATACTTCACTTGAACTAAATTCTTACTACTTATATCTCTTTGTTTGGCTAACTTATACATATATCTTTCTCCCTCCTTAGTATCCAATCTATTATATAAATCATTAAAAGCTAAGCTCTTTGCATCGCAAATAGCTTTCTTAGATTCCTTACGAGCCTCTTTATGGCTTTTCCAATTATCAGAATTTTTACATCTAAACAAATTTTTATAACAAATCTTCTTGTTTTTTATCTTTTCTTGCACATTTGGATTCCACTACCAACTAATTTTACTATTAGAAATTTTCCCTTCTAAACTCCAAGCACATCTTTTGGAATATTCATAGTATCACAAGTCTCTTTTTCCAACATAATATTGGCATCCTCATGCACAGACATAATCTAAAAATATAAAATCTTACTCTTAAAAATATTTTGTTAATATTCTTTAAATTCCCCCATCTAATCCTAGAAAATTATTTTACTTTTTATTTTTTATTTTTTCCCCAAGATATTAAAGTCCAAAACTAACAATTGATGTTGGGTACATAAAATTTCACTCAGAATAACTTTACAATATTTGCAATCTAAACGATCTAATTTTCTTATAAGAAAATAATCAATCTACGTTTTACTATATATATATATATATATATATAAGTGATAAGATGCTCGTCTCTTTTTTTAAATAAGGTATTAGCTCTTAAGAAATCATAAGCTAAAGAAAAATCAAATATAATCTTACAACCTTCATTTGTTGTACCAAACCCATGGCCACTATGGATGCTTTTAAAATCATCTACATGTCTACCAACATGTCCATTTAAATCTCCTCCAATAAAAATTATTTCTTCAATAGCTATATTTTGAATTAATTCTTCTAAAT